AGCGTACGAAACGCGTACGTTTAATTTACAAAAAAAAAAAAAAAATTATTGTTTTTCCGATTGTTTTCTTTACCTGCTCGTGGTTTACACTCGACTTAATTTATATTTTAAAATTAACTTTAAAAACATCGTTTACGTTATGCGTATTTGTATTTGTAGGATAGCTTGACTCTGGTTGAAAAAAAAAAACAACGGGTCGGCTCGCCCGGCTCCGGTCTCGTGTAGAATGAGAATATAAGAAACGAAAAAAAAAAACAACAATCTCCGCGGATTTCCTTGGATTTTACACCACGGCCGTCCGTCACACGCCGCTGCGCGGGAACGCTCGCGCACGCCGTCCCCGCGTCACTTCGCCGCCGCCGCCGCCGCCGCCGCCGCCGCCGCCGCCGACCCGACAAAACATTTCCGACCGCCCGGTCCACCGCGGTCCGTGCGCGCATAATAACAGTCGCGGGGCGTTTCACTTTCGCCCTTTAATCCGCATTGGTACACCGGAAATAAGACGGCCGCCGATGCTGTACGCGCGCCCGGCACAGCGACCGGTGCACCGTTATTAATTGTTACGGCGAGATTTCGGCCGGACGGGCCGCGGCGCGGCGGATCGGAAGCGCGTCCCGACGGCGGCGACGCGTTTACGAGAAAAAAAAAAAAAACGTTCGTCGAAACACCGTCGCGCGGTAGCCGCGCGTTGTTTAACGTTCCGGGTGGACCGAATGGGCTTACGCGGTTTTACAACGGCGTTCGTTCTTCCTCGGTGTTATTGCCTTTTTTGTCGTTTTTTTTTTTTTCCCGCGGACAATTTTCCTACCGGCGATTTCGCTCCGGTTTACGACCGCGGAATTTTTTCCACCGGGAAATCTGACCGGGGAGGCACTGTATGGAGGCGATTTTTCGAGGAGTTATTATCCTAATAAATGGGAAAAACCGGAGGCGAAACGGGGATATAGGTACAATGTTAAACAAACATTATTAACAAAAAAGTATAAAATGCCTATACGACCATAGTATGACATGTTTATTGTTGACAAGGCGACACTATACGCTGAACTCTGCTCAGAATCGGTTTTTCGTTAGCAATGGTTTATCGTTGCTCGCAAACGTGTACATCGAAAGTTGATTGGAAGGTGGTAACAACTTCTCGCCTACAGCTAACAGTGGCCCACCATCGTGCGATGTATATCCGGTTTTTGGGTTTTCGTCTCTGCGTTACGAATCCGCCAAAAATAGCGTACTCGCATTCTGCAGAACCGATTTCGCGCGTTTCGTTTCAATATTATAGCGAATTAATGGCCTGTATATTATCAAACGAGGGGGCGTGCTTGGTACCGCGAGTAATCCGATTGTAAAAAACGGTTTGCGCCGTTAACAACTACTCGGGCTCATAGACGGGCATTGAATTTCAGAGCGGGTCGATGTTTAAAGTAATGTTCACTGCGTATCGAAGCCGCTCTCGAACCATCGTTCCTTAAACACCGTGAAAAATCAAAATGTGATTTATTTCGGACATTCGACATACCGGCTGCACCATACATATTATACGTGCATACACTATGTTATGCATGGATGTATGCATTCTATTAGCGTTTTTTTTAACTATTAATTTAAAGACCGAAGAAAGATAAGTAGACGAAAACTTGATTACCACCGCCGAAATAATTTAATTTTAATAAACGAGATTTGAACTCGGGGATTTTATTCGTCAATGCCCGTGAGAATTGCAAAGGAAAACGGAAACATCAAACATTTCTTTACGTTAACCGTCGTGTGTACGTTGAAACACGTTACAAACGTAAAACACCCGTCGAATCGTACACATCGTTCAAGAACGGGTACGTTATAAAAAAAAAAATCCATCATAGGATACTAATGTGACCGTTCTGCCGAAAATCCGTCCGTTTCTTTCGAGTGTTTCCGCGGGTCATGTTCCCGAATCGTTTAGAAAACTACAAAAGACAAACCAACGGTGACGTCCTCGGCGCGTCGACTGTAGACGCAATGTGTTTTCAGCGAAGACGCTGCGCGGGATAATCGGATCAATAAACAAATGTATAGTGGACAAATCGTCAACAGACAGACAAACGAGAGAAACGGCACGCGTTATACTGAAACCAATACGGATCGATGAATGCGCCCGGAATCTAAAAATGTTACGGATCCGATACCCTGTGCGGATAGCGTGTTTGTAAATTGGCCATTTATTACGGTTCCGTCGCCGTTATAATAACCGCAACGGTTAAATTGAAAACTTTTCAAACTGAACATGTAAATATGTTACGACCGTTGCGCAATACGAATGTGACTTTGCGGGCGGCGCAAAAAGCGGCAGTTGTTATTGAAACGGGAACGAAAACGGCGACGGAAGGGGGAGGGGAGAAAACGCGTTCCAAGGTTTTAACAGTGTAAACCCGCCGCGCGGACTTGTACGCCAATAATAACCGCCCGCGGCTTCTGTGAGCCATCTGTTCGTCCACCGCGCTGCAGGTCCGCAGTTTTATTATTATTATTGTTATTTATATTATCACGCGCCGTTTTTTTTTATTATAACGAAAACGGTCGCCTCTCGCAATAACATTGTTAATTTACAACGCGCGCGGGATAACGATAATAATTATCGCGTCCGCGCTACGGACATTGCCGAACTCGCATATCGCGCGCTATTCGTCCGCGTCTGACGTTGAAAATGTCGAAAAGCCGTATCGCCGTAAACCGTTCGCGGGGGGGGGGGGAAAAAAAAAAAAAAAAACCAACCAACGAAAAGAAAACGCGCTGCAGCGGGCGGGCAACGCCGCGAACGAAAACGAACGCGCGGGGGCGCCGTGGTCCGAACGCGATCGAATGAACTGCACGCCGAACGCGACCGACGGATATGTAAACACTTTTTTTTTTTTTCGACGATCGATAAACGTGATTCTGTAAACTCTGATCATTTCGGATCGCGTTCGTTAAAGGCCGCGGTTAAACCGGCCGTCGGACATTGTCGGCCGTGTGCGGGACGGCGGCGCGCGCCGTTTTTTTTTTTTGAAGACTTTGTCAGCATTGTAGTCTCACGGATTATTTTTACATTATAACAACAACAGGGCATACGTATTTTTGTAATAATTATGAACGACAATACCGGGTAACAATAACGGCGTTGTCGGGTTGATAATATTAATTTGATTTATTTACATTCACTACACGAGAATCGCGCTGAGTGGCTAAATATTAATATTGCAGTCGGCGTTAAAAAATTATAATAGGTTTAATTTTATCCAGTGCTACAATCCGGCTAAAATAAACGTATATAGACGCATATGAAGATCTGGAGATAGGGTCCGGAAAAAATGTTATCGCTTCGCTCGAACGGCGACTCTTTTAAATTCTGAGTGGAGCGTAAAACCTTATGGTTTTACAAAGATATTTATTTATTTTCTGAATATATATTATTTATCGTCTTAATAGAGACATTTATCTTTTCCACCAGAAGTCTCGTTCCGGTTTACAACGATAGCATTTTTTTTCTAAAAGGAAATCAGACGAGGTTATTTTTCGATTTTCTCAAAAGATTTCTCATCAAAATATGTGAAAAACCGAAACGCGGCGGAAAAACAGGAAAATGCACGGAATACATTAGTAAAATATTGAGAATAACATTACCGTCATTCATCTCTCAACAACGAGTTATCACAATAAGAATATAAAATTATATTAAATATCATGATAAATGATTGTGGAATTCGGTCGACCGAAGTCATGCCCACAACATATTTATTTTATGAATAATTTGATTATGAACGCTCGATAACAAAATCTTAATTTTTACAAATATAAAACGGGTATTTATAATTGCCGTACAGGACATACGGTAGATACGGCCGTATACCCGCGTATCGTCAATTTGTCATAAGCTGTACGCCATGGATACGAATAACGTATTGGGTATACGCCGTATACCCCCTCCCCCATCCCCCCCAATAGACCACTGACCACAGTTTGTACCGGTATTAAAGTTTGATGATATTTCGAGACACGGTATTACGTGGTCCACGACTATGTATTATGTATCGTTTTTTTTTGTTTTTTTCGCATGTTGCACGCGTCACTACTATTATAATGTATACAACAGAAGCGCCAAAAAAAAAAAAAAACGACGATGGCCGAATTTCGACCTACCTCAATATGTGCTGTCGTTTTTTCCGCCGGGTTTTTTATTTTCGCCTAATATGCACCTAACCTTGTTTAATTTTGTACAATATAATACTATTATTATGTTTAGGAGTAGCAAGGACGGTTTACACAGTCGTTGCACTCGACTCTGCGACGACAAGGCGCCGCGGTTGTTGTCCTCGGAAGAGCCCCGTGTCCTCCGGTCTCTCCGCGCAACGCCCCCGCCCTCCCGCCCGCCGATCATCATTATCGTTCGCGCGCACTGGGACACCGACCCGCCACACAGTGTGTGCGTCCGATAAAGAAAAAAAAAAAAAGAAAAAGAAAAAAAGTAAACATCATCCGTGTACGTTTCGTTATTATTATGTTTATTCTAGTTTGACCGGTACACAAATACACCGTATACATATGATAATGCTGCGCGTATAATATAATATTACGTAAGTATAATTTTTCTATTAAAATAAAAAAAAAAAAAAAAAAAAAAAACAACAACCCGTTGGAATTCCGGACGTTCGTATTGTATACACAGAGCCGTGGGTGTACGAGTGCTGTGCAATAATATTATTGGGGGAGGGGGGAGGGGAAACCCGAGAAGACGAGAAAAGAAAAAAACAACATCTTTGCCCACCTGCCTATACTTACCCGTACCGTAGTATACCCGCAGTGTATAATAAAACGTACCTAACTATTATTATTGTAGACTGTATCTGTACACGGTCGAATATTTAAAAAAAAAAAAAAAAAAAGAAATCGTCGTGGAAATCTTTTCCCTGCGAGCGACGGTGTTTTTCATCGATGTTTTCCCGGCACCCGGCAAACAGCGGCTATATAACATTGCAGTGCGTATTGCAATGCAACATTATAGTATCGGCTGTTCCCCGCTATACTTCCGTACGCTTTTGGCGCCGCCGCCCACTCCGCTCCGCGCTGTACGCCACAGTGGAACGTCTGAATACAACTGCAACGGAAATTATGCAGCCGGCGCCGCGACGATGCGCGGACCACCGACCGACCTCGGTAGGCCGCCAAAACCGCAAAAAGCTAAACGTTCGAAATCGGTCTCGCTCGAACGTTTGTTCGATTTCCGCCAACCAACCCTGTTGAATGTTTGCAATTGAAAATCTCAGTCGCCAATAAAACGTGCGCGCGTTTTAGAGTTTACGCGGCCACGGTCCGTGCGCGGACGAACGGGCGGAGCGCCCGAACGTAAACGGCCCGACCGCGTTCGCAAACACGGATCCGGAGCAACGGTCCGGCGGTGGACGGGCGACATTTTATTCACAATGTCCAGTTAATAGCACCGCGATCGTCCGGGACCAACTTTTGCGGCGTCAACGATTACGCGCGTTCGCGAATCGTTCGCCGTAATTATACAACGTCGGAATCGCAGTCCGCGGATACGTGTAACTTATCGCGTTGTACGTACGCATCTCTGCTATTGAAATACGACAGTATCGGGACCTGTAGAATCGTAGAGAAAAAAAAAAAAAGAAAAATCGGAGAAATAATATTTCTGGGAGGGCCGAGGGGGGACGTGAGGCTGTTGGGTGCCGCCCGGATCCATCCCGCGAAGTCCGGTTCCGTTCGCCCGGATACGACCGACCGATCGAATAGCCTTTTGATTCAAACCCGTTCAAAACTCTTTGGTTTTTAATAACGTAACAGGACGACGGACGGTATCGGTCCAGAGGTCATAATCGATCCGACGTCGTGGTGGATCCGTGCGTACGCGTCGGCGAATCTGCCGCTGTCTCCGTCGGATTATCGCGTTACGGTAAACGCGAGCCGGTGCGAAATCACGATACCCGACGTCAACAATGAGGTATTTTTATACGCATAGCTGCTGCTGCTGCTGATAAATAATTTATACGAATGTACGGGAAACGATTTATACTCCGCGCTGTTCGCGGTGAATAATGGCCGCGCAATAAAAGCCTGCTTATAGCGTGCACGCACACACGTCACGCGTTCCTAATGGTATTATAATGAAATATAAAAAATTATTCGATAAACATTTAAAACCGTAATCTATATGCTTGAACAATTGATAACGATGAACATAAATTTAAATTTGTTAAACGCTGTTGTTGTGTTTTATTCTTGCTTTGAAACATTTAACAGACAATTTAATACCGACATTTTTTTGTTTTTTTTTTTTTTTTTTTAACATTTAGTTAACCGAATAACCGCCGAAAACGTTTAAGGTGTAATTCGTCGTCGAATCGAACTTGTTTAGGGCGCGTCTATAAACGAGGCGCCGAAAAGAATACTCAAAGGCGAACTGACCGAAAGCGTTACCCGAAGTGAAGATCTCGAAGAACACGGTCTTCCTGTGCAGTCGCGTACCTTTGCGAAAAACTATATCCCGGGTGGCGCGAAGACGGGTTCGTTCCCCGTGCGTTTGAGAGCGTCGCCCACGTAACCGCTCGCCGCAACCGGAACGGCGCTCGCAGATCGTACGCCGCGCGAAGAAGTCCGTCCGTCGCCGCGCCCGACGGAATACTCGCTGCGCTGCTGTCCGAGATTACGGTAAAAAGCCGGCGGCACTCTCTACGCGCGGCCGTACGGGAGCGGCGTCGGGCTGTACCAAGAGGCGGTCTTTTAGCTGCGGCGGGTCGTGGACGCGCCGTCCGAATGGATTCCGTTTGTTGCGTTACGGCGGCGTTACAATGTTTATAACAACAATCCGTATCGTTGAAATACGAGCAGATTGTATTATCACGGTATACGACGCATATTTGTTTTGATGTATAATCGGACCAGAGCGCAGCGATAATGATAGATGAGGTCACGGGGATTGTAAGCATATTTGTTTTGATGTATAATCGGACCAGAGCGCAGCGATAATGATAGATGAGGTCACGGGGATTGTAACGCGGTTTTAAATTAAAAAAAAAAAAATAATAATAATAATAATAACAATAATGAAAAATAGCTGTATTTGAAACATTAAAAGATTAAAAAAAAAAAAAAAAAAACCACAATGAAATACCGATGTAGATAAATACAGCGCGTTTATTTTATCGATATATTTCATAATAGTGTATTACCCCTAATATTCTTCATATTGATTTTGACGGACTGTATAATATCACGGTCGTTGACATTTGTTCGTTTACGTCACCGTGAAATCCGCGCGTATTACCCTCCGTGCCGTGTCGATGGACGCGCGGCCGTCCGTTTGTTGCGAGCGGAAAGCTGAAAAGGTCAGGTGTAGGGCGCCGGGTAATTTAATTAACACGCCGAAAAACAGTTGAAAAATGATTCTGAACGGAGCTCGGCAAACTGGTAGGCTATACGTATTATTATGTAGCGCTTGTCGTCGTATACGAAGCTCCTTGTAGCCAAGGTGACAAAAACAAAACCTATGTATTCGATGACATTTTTTCGTATTAATTTTCAAGCGAATGTAATAATAATATTACAAAAAAAAAAAAAAAAAAAAAATGATGACATTTCTTGTACTTTATTATCGGTTAGTAATTATTTTACAAACCGAAAAAGTGTTTTTCAAGGGGAAAAAAAAACAAATAGTTAGTTAATTTGTACGTTACGGTTTATTCTTCGGCACACTCGAAATCTAAAAAATACATACGTGTTCTTATAAATTGTACTGCAACGACAATTACGGGCAATAAAATAGTCATGTTTCTTTGCGACCGGTCAATAAATTATTTTCAACCTCAACATAGATTGCCGCGGTCGTGATTCCAGCAAGGACGAGAAACGATATTGTAAACACCGCGCAATACATTCACATTTGTATTATTTTAGCGAACATATCGATTTTATACCGATTTATAGACCGCGTTAATTTCTCAGCATTTCAACGTGGAAATCGTACCTACGCGATGGTTTTAGATTCTGAATGGAGCGAAGGAGTTTATGGTTTTATACAATGATGTTTATTTTTGTATTTTTTTTTTAACTACTTTTTTCCAGCAATTTCGCTCCGATTTACAATGATAGCACGGTAGTTTTCCCAATAAACGGGAAAACCGTACGAAAAACGGGTACAAAATTAAACAAATATTATTAAAGAAAATAAAATCGTGCACGTGTAATTACGTGTTTTTCCATAACGTGACACATATCGTATTGTTGACAAAACCACACATCAACCCGAACTCCGTTCAGAATCGTTTTTTTCGCCGGCATCGGCGAATCGTTGCTTACTGCAGATACACGTTAAATTGCCTACAACAGTGGCCGCACCCGTTCCCTATTATCCAAGAGGAAAGCTCTTTTCAATTCGTTTTATTTTTATTCCGTAGTCTTTCGACGCAATGCGACTATAATAAAATAGATGGGTACATCGTCGTTTGTTTTCACGTGGTACTGGTATATCGCGGTCTCGTTACGCATTTTTAGCGGTAAATCGGTAGTACAATCGTACCGGGGGGCGATGATTCCCAAGAAAAAAAATAAATAAAAAAAACCTTACATAATTGACGTCGTCCTCGAAGACGGCGTGACGTTCGTCGCATAATTACATAAAGGCGTATCAATTATTGAAGGAACGAAAAAAAAAAAAACAAAAACAAAACCGAAACGCTATTTCGGACGGTACGCCGGTAACTCGTTGAGGACGACTTTATTGCGTTTTCTAGGCGACCCCGCGGTTATGGTATTTCGGAGCGAGTTACCTACCGATTTTATGTCTTCGCCTTCTTTCTAGATGTGTGTGTAAAAAATATAAAAACGCGTTTTCGTCGTTTGTCGCCGCGGTAAATTGCAATTAAACACGAGCAGCCACTGCGTTTTATACGCGCGCGAGTATTTTTCGTTTTCCTTGGACCGTCGCGAACGGCTAAGAGGCGGGGACGCGCCGTTATCGCGTCACCCGGGCCACGTGTCGTTTTGCCACTCGCCCGCTTTGCGTCACGTCGCGCGAGTGCGCACAATTCGCATTCCGAACGCGTCGCGCCGGTCCGACGAGTTCTTCGGATCGGCAAAACCAACCGCGAATGCTGCCAGCCGTTATCGTTATGAGTGAACAAAATGGGAAATGACCGGGACGGGTTCGCGAAACGAACGCAAGACGAGAAGGACTTGGCGAATCCGTTCGATTGGCGCGGGTTGAACGGTGACAGTCTCGTAGATTGCACGCGTACTTTAGAATGAGAGGAAAAAAAAACTAGGGAGAATTCGAATACGTTCGCGAACTGACCGAAGACGACGCGCGTGAAGAACGCGCGCGACTCACGCCGACGGCTTGGCGCGAACTATTAGGTGCGTTGGTCCGGGGCGCGCGTTCGGCACACGTCCGTCCGAGATCCCGAATCAAACGCGGTACCGTCGCGTAACATCGAATACGCGAAATGACGGGCGAAATAGGAACGCGGGGCGCGACGAAATATCGCAATACCACGCGAGCGGGAGTGGGGGCGGGGAGGAACGGTTTGTCCCGCGGTACGTCGGAACGGCGCGTACCCGTGAGTTTCGCGTATTCCTCGTGTGACGCGACGCGATGCGAGTCTCGCCGCAACAGGACGCGAGCTCGCGCGACGCGATTACGGCGTGGGTTTTACGCGCGCAAATCCCGTGCGTCCCGGGGGCGCCCGTGGGACGGTCCGCGCGCGCTGTACGCGCTGACGTCGCGGCAACCGTAGCCGAACACGGCGCGCGGTACGCCCGTCCGCCGAAAACGAAAGCGTTACGGCGCGCGTGATCGGCCGGGATCGCGGGCACGTGGGGTCGGGTCGAGTTGGGACGGGTTGGGTCGGGTCGGGTTTTCGTACGGTTCGTGCGTTACGCGAACCGTATTCGCGTTCGTCATCGCGGTCGTTACTCGACTGTTACATCGCGGCGGTCTTAATCACTTGCTCTGCGCGCGTTTGACATCGGTAAACGATCGAGTTTGTAGATTTTTTTTTTTCTTTTCGTTATTGTTATCGTTTTTGATTTCATCGCGGACAGCGCGGGGGTTCCGTCCAAGTGACGTTTTCGTGACGTTTGGTGTCCAACAATGTTTCGATTAACAGAGGGGGGGGGGGAAAGAAATAAAAATGGTACGTATTATAACCGCGGGCCAGACGAGAACGTTTACGGAGTGTTTTTTTTTTCTCGATTATATACCGCGTAGCGATAAGAACATTACGGCCCGGGGACGGGCCCGGAGATAACGCGCCCGCGAATATCGAATAGCGTTCGATACGCGACGATAACATAATGATAACAGAACTTACGCGCCGTCGAAAAGGGTCGCGTAAACTTAATATCAGCGCGCGCGGGAATTTTTTTTTTTTTTGAAAAAAGGACACCACACAACGATACAGTAGGTCCGTTGTAATGTCCAACCGTATAATTGATTTATGTAGGGCGACGGAAACAGCGGCCCGCGGCCCGTATCCAGGTCGTAACGCGAGAATCCGCCTGAACGATATAATTTATTATTACGGTTCGGAACATTTCTATGTTTGGCCGTTTAGGTACGTTTTGTTACGCGCATATACATTCGTCGGTACTTTTATACCGAGCGCGTTTTACGTACGGTCTACATTTGATAAGGTTTTTTATTTATTTTTTTTTTTTGGCCCTACTCACGAAAAAATCCCGGCGCGGCGGCCGTTAATTGTTATCCGTACGTAAACGGTAACCTCGTAGGGCGAACGATTTGCCCGGTTCGTGATAAAAATAGGTCGGGTGCTTCGGTGCTTTCCGCGGAATCCGCAAAGTCTGCGGCTGTCCAGTTCGTAGGACGGGCGAAAATTCGCCTAGATTTCACCTAGAGTGTAAATTCGAAAACGATGTCCGTTTCGCGAACCGGCGACTTCCGAAAAAGGCGACTGGACGCTGAACGTTAGCACGGGTACGGGGAT